TAAATAACAAACATATTTTTTTATTAGAGAGCCTCAAAATTTCGAATTTTCGGGTCAAAAGAATAATGTATTCTGATATAAAACTTAGTTCTTAACTGAAAAATATAAGAAATGTGTAATATGAGAAAACGATTTTAAAAAGTGCATTTGGAGTAGTGGTATGAGAAATGAAGGAAATTATAACAAATAGGTATTGTTAACAAACAAATCTGCTGTCACTGATAATAGTCCAGTCAAATGCTAGAAAATAGGAGAAAATTTTGATGTAATGTTTAAATGTAGTTCCAACAAGTTTTGGGGTCGCTAAATAGGAATGTAAGGTTTTTCAAGAAGTGTTTTGTCTGAAAACACGGATTTAAAGAAGAAAATGTGTAAAAATGCCAACAAACATGTTTGTTTGTTTTTTCAGTTTTTTTAAATAACTCAGACTTTCCACTTTTCGTATATAATGACCATATGTAATAAATCGTAACATTATATACATTAAGTATCATTATAATTTTTCTCTAATTAAATGTTCAGCTGCCAATGAAGAATTTGGTGATCTAAGCAAAAAAAACGCGATAAAATGGTGATTATTCCTCTTTATCACAATACAACTTCGTAAAAATTATCCATTTTTCGAAAATGAGGGCAGGATTTGAAATCACATAGGATAAAATTGCCTTCAATTATTGTATTTGAAGTTTTTCTGCGATCATTGGAATATCTATTTGTAAGCAAAATGTGTCAGGATGTTCCTGTGAAATTGGCATTCCACTTATCCTCCCTCCTACACAAAAAATAAAATGGAAAAAGAACCTTAAAAGTTTCAAGGACCACGCAGGTATTGATCTGAAACTGTAAAGGTATACGTGATTCTCAGTACGCTCGAAGAATGTTCCTGTAATTTACGTAAACTGTACGCAGAGTAAAAGTGTTTTTACACTTTCGTGCGTCTCTTAGTAATATCCTGCTGCGTTCGCAGCTGTGTAGTAGTACAGCGCCCCGCCACTGTGTGTCAGGTCGAACGCTCGGCTCGCAGTAGTTCAGCGCTCCGCCACTCCACACGGCAGAGCGCACCTCTACACCGATCAGTATTAGTCATATATGGTTCAGTGAAACGGCCAATGGCAAGTGGCGACCAAGTTGTGGTTCTGGGGGGTAAACAATGAAACAGTCCGATGTGAACTGACGTAAGGGTCAAAACAAATTTAGAGAAATCAGCAAGCTGGTGAAATTCTGAGCACGCCTCTAAAGTAGTCGGATTGCTCCAGCTACATCTGAAATGCATTAATGCCACGACCAAGAACCCCGCAACCAATGATGTAAATATTCACCATGATATAAATACATACATCATTACCCTCAATACGGCGGCCAACCTGTTGCATCCTCTTTAGGAGACCTCGTGGCGCAGACCCGCTGAGATAGCCCATGATTAACAAGTAAGGTCTCTGATGGTTCGAATCCCGACGATGGAAATTATTCGATACTAGCTTAATCGAATTCAAGCGCTGATTTTGGGAGTTATCTAGCGACCGGCAGTTCACATCGGTGGTTGGAAGTATGTAGAATATCGCAATATATGCGAAATGTAAATTGACTTTTAAAGATTATGTGTAAACAGAATCGCACCTGTCTTGATGTTTGTTAATAAACACTTAGCAAATTTAATTAATATTATTTCAAAAGATAATTAACTTTGTGTTAATTATTAACTGTTAACTTTATTAAGTTAAATATTTATTAATTTTCCAGACTGATGTCAGTATTGGCGTCAAACAGTAATTAAATATTCAATAAATAATCAAAATTTATGGAACATTTTGCTACATTTAGTCATGAAACTTAATTCGCAAGAAAGTAAATTAGAAGATTTTTAGTAAGAGACTAACAAATAAACCTCTTTAATACGAATATACTTAGTGATATTTCGTTCTATAGCACAATAATTATTCTTATGCATATTTGCTTATACAGTTGCAAAAATTTACACGTAATACATACTCTTTTTTCTCGTTCTCTACGGAAATGAAATGTTTTCTCTGTCCCTACTCTGGCGTTCCTAAAACGCACAATTTGTAGGGTTTTGCGCAAAGTAACCTTAAATCTCACCCAACTCGTAAACAAGCGCCTTATCTCATAAACACCCCTCTACCAAGCCGCACACCGCGCGGTTTGTGAAATATATTAACTCCACTAAGTTCTGAATTGTAGTGAAAAAAAAAACATATTTTTCTCCAATGCGGGCAAGTCTAGACAAATGAACAAGGTAGCACAGATAGGCGAAAGCACACTGCCGTAATGTACATTTTGAAAGGGAAATTGAAGGAATTATAAAATATATTTATAGCACAATAGGCCTTTACGCATTTAATCAGTAGCACACCTCCGTGTTAAATGCCCTATAACGACGTATTGGTTAGCTACTTCAGTGATCCCCACGGCAACAAAGGAACTTTACGTCACCTTACCATTCATAATACAGCATCGTTCTGACCAAAAAGTTCATGTTTACTTTCTGTATTTTAATTTCCTTATGCATATAACAAAAACAGCATGTGAAGTAGAATTTTTGAACAATTTTTAATGAAAGAAATTATCTATATCTAATGAATGTCCATTGAAAATGAATAATGCAATTATAAGGAAGGACTCGTATTTCTTTACTTTTCATAAAAATATCTAGAAATGTAAGTAACCTAAGTGTTAAATAAGGGTATCTAGGAAGTAATAACATTTCTGTTGTGCTTTTAATCAACTTTCCGTATTTCCTTTCTATATTTTTGGAAAAGAAAAAAACATAATTTGGAGTTCTTTCCTTTATTATTTCTGCATTTAACTGCATAACAGCGTGTCCCTTTCGACACACGTATTGGAACAGTATAAGAATTCAGCCGGTACATATCAAATACATCCTGATACATGTCAAATGTAAGATTAAAACGTTAATTCTATTTAATTTTACGTGTAATTTAATAACCTTTGAAATCATTGGAATATAAAACCGCAAGAAGCAACACGACTTATTTTTAAGTTTTTAACCAGCTCTTAATAAACGCAATGGCTCCAAGCCAGTGCAGATTGGCCGGGGAATATTCATTTTGGCAAAACTCCTACGAACAGTTGACGGGCGGTCTCTCGACGTTTCACAACAAACATCTTTCTACGATTATCGTTCGATTTCTTAATAGCAAAGAACTTATTTTTTTACCTTTCCATATTAATTTTGTGTTTATATAAAACAATGTTTAACTATTTCGTGACCTTTAATATATTATATTTCTAACCATTTCACCTTACATTTTTTCAACTTCTGCTACCATTTTTGACAGTTATCTTTCTTTTTTCATTTCACGTACCTCCTTTCGTATTGTATCCTGCCTTTCTTGTTCTCGGAATTTATCCTCTTCCTCCGACAACTTTTCTACCTTCCTTTTCTATATTCTCGTCATGATCATCAGTTCCAATTACTTTCCTTTCCTTCCAAATATAAACAAGATTTTTTTTTCATTTCTGAATGCCAGAATGTCCATTTAAACGAGAACGCTAGAGCATTGTATACTAGTGCTCAGGGTGTATTCATAACTTGCGTAGGTTCAATTATTATTCTAAAACGATGCTTAGGTGCTATATGCCTGTGGTTAAGTCAGAGAGAGAGAGAGAGAAAGAGAGAGAGATTGGTACACAGCAAATGGTAGTTGCTCCTCACTGAAGCTCACGGGGCAAATGCAGCAACTTTCTAACGCTTTTACTATTTTTTATTTTTAAAAAATGCTCCTAAAAAGATCATGATTTTCTTTGTACAATTAATGTACCGTTTGAAATGGAAGGACGAGGGAGAGGACAAGGGCGAAGGGCGAGGGCAAAGGCGATGAGCGAAGGTGGGACGTGGGCTAGGACGATAGGCCGAGGTGTGAGGGCTAGGGGAGACAGAGTTGGGCGAGGGGCGAAGGTGAGGTTTGAGTGGGAGGGCGAGGGCGAAGTTGGGGCGAAGGCTACGGCGAGAGGCGAGGGAGAGGCCGAGGTTCAAGTGGCGCGGGGCGATGGCTAGGTC